AGTACCACAGCCCAGAGGTCTGACAGGGCTTCGCCCGTCATTCCCCCCTTGGGAGTTGCATGTTGCGACCCCAGGACTCTGTTCTGGTCTTGAGGTCACTTCAAATGAATTCCGGAAGGAGCTTCCGGCAACCGCTCACTCAGGGCTTTACTGCCACTGCTGCCAGCCTCCAGTTTTCCAGCCTGGCTGCCAGTTCTGTTGGTGCCACTGCTGGTTCCACTCTTGGCCGTATCCGGCGGATCGCCAGTTTCTCCACTGCTCCTCAGCCCAGCTCGATCCCTGCCATTGCTGGTGGCTGTCGTAGCTCTGCCGATTCCATCGCCATTCATCTTGGTTTTGAGGGTGGCTTGGATCATCGGCTGGAGCAGCCGCTGCACTATCTTGGGGGTTGGTCCTCAAATCAGCGGTGCGCTGGGCTCTTCTCTGCGCCCTCTCGGCCTCCTTTCTCGCAAGATAGCCGGGTTCCAAAGTGGGGGGTCTTGGATGATCCCAAGGCCTCGGCATATCAGCTGGTGTGCAACCCTCCATTCGTGCGAGCTGTTGGTGATGCCTGGCCGCCCTTTGCCGCGACTTATGTCGGATCCTCGCCTCTTCCGGCGAGAAACCCATCCGGATGTCGGCTGCGAACTTGCCTGGCTTGGTGGGCGGAGGAGCCTCGTCCGCTCGCAGCTGCAGGGACTTCAGGTACTCGGTACATCGTTGCCAGGATGAAACCCTCATCTTTGCTTTGACCTCTGCAGGCGCCCTCAGGTATGCTTCCATGCGATCACCAATCTCTTTCAGGAGATCCATGTCCTGTTGAAACTCCTCTGGAGTTCGATCGTCCTCCTGATCTCCCCAGTCGACTTCTTCTGAGGAGAAGAAAAGTGTCTCGACCGGAGCGGTCGGGCTTGATCTGGCTGGACCAGCCGGTGGTGGGGTCCCCCCCCGTCATGGCTTGATCCCTCGTCTCCTCGACCTTTGGCGCCTTGGCGGGGCTTTCCCCGCTGTCTCTTGCAGGCGGCTCTGCCATGGGGGCATCTTCATCCCTAGTGTCTTTGCTGACAGCTCTTTTGGGCCTTGCGTAGCTCCTCGGATCTTTTCCCCTGGACGTCATAGCTTCCCAGGCGGGCGGGAAGACCATCTCGGCAAGGTTGATCCTTGGGGATCCACCGCCCAAGCAGTCTTCCCTGACTGCTGTCGGCAACGGAGTCTCGACTTCTGGGATGGGTGCTAGGGTCTTCCTCTGCTGCCTCAGCTTTTGGTTGTTGTAGTGGAAAAGGAAGCTTTTCACTGCATCCAGTGCTTTCTGGTTGAAGGCATCATTTGCTTCCTTTCGATCCCCTTGGAGACCATCCGTGGTGTTCTCCTCATCCCAGTTCTGGCTGACCTCTGGCCAATCACAACTGGTCGGATCGACCACATCATGCCAGTCATCTTCGGAGTCCGGGTCTACGTTGACCAGCACATAGTCCTGTGAGGGGTCTTCCACCCTGTCCTCATGGTCACCGGGCTCTGGTGTTCCCAACCACAGCGCAGCTGGGCTGGCCCCTTTCCGGGCTCCTTGGTCCACCTCCATGGGGGCCGCCTCGGGCCGGATATCTTGCTTGTTCTGAGTTCCTTCTCCCTGGTAAGTTTGGGGATTTCTCTCAAACAGCCCCGAGGGTCGGAAAGGCTCTTCTCCTTCTTCGGCATTGGGGGCCCGTAGGTCATGCCTGGGAGTTCCTCCTACACTTTCCTCCGGTGTTCTTGGCTCGCCTGAGGGTGTTGACCCCTTTGCCTTTGGCGGAACAAAGCTTGGTGGCGGCGCCTTCCGACCGATTGCGGTCCCTCTCTCCTCCTGTTTTGGTGGGATGAAGTCCTTGGGCGGAGGAGGTGGTGGCTTCCTCAGACCCGCTGCTCCTCCTCCCTCCTGCTTCGGCGGTAGGAAGTCGCTGGGTGGAGGAGGTGGTGGTTTTCTCAGACCAGCTTTGGGTGGCGTCTTCGCCCTGGGCAATCTCTCATCCCTTGGAGGTGGCATGTAGCCTGGGGGTTTTGGCGGCGCCCATTGGTGGTAGTTGGACGATGGGCGTGGGACCTCCGACATAGGCGAAGGTTTTGGCATGTTCTCTGCTGGGGGGAACCTCGAGGTCGGCTTTGGCGTTGGTCCTCGTGCGGTTGAACTGCCTGGACCAGCTGTAGCCGTTTGCTGTTGTGGTCCCCATCCTGTGGCAGCTGGGCCGGCTGGATCAGCCGTAGGGGCATTCGGTCTCGGAGCACTGTAGGATGGTGGGAACCTGGATGCTGGCTTGGGCTGGGTCGGTTGGTGCTCTGCCTGCGGACCCGGTGGTGGAGTAGTGGATCTCGATTCAAAGAAGTCTCGAGCTTCCCGAAAAGACGAGGAAGGCTCCCTCCTAGCCTGTTGTGCATAGCATCCCCGAGCCTGCCCTTCATCCTCGTTATTCCGGGGGTTATAGGCTCTGGTTGCCCCTGGCCTTGCTGGTGCTGCCCGGGCTACTGCTGCTGCCCTCGCCCTGGCTCTGGCGAGTTCTGCCGCTCTCTCCGCTTGCCACTGACGGAACTGCTCGGCCATCAGTGGGTCACTAAGGATATCCCTAGCGGTTGACATCCTCTTGAACTCTTCGGATTTCTCTTCCTGCTCTTCTGTCGGCAAGTGGCTGAGCTTGTCTGGATGGTACGTTCTTGCCTTCATTCGGAACGCCTTGAGCACTTCGGGCGTACTGGCCCCTCGCCTGACTCCGAGGAGTCGATGCAGGTCTAGATCCGGGTTGTGTCTGAAAAAGAGGTGTGATTCCTCCAGCTTGCTAACTGGGGCCGCTTCCATGACGCAGCTTCCAGCGCGTTCGCAGAAGGACACTCGTCGGTCTGGGGCCCAAGACAAAGATCTCGAGCCTAGAGTCCCACGATTGAGATCAGACCGATCTTGGTGGTTTCCAACGGGTGGGCGATCGGCAGCCTGAGCCTTCTGACTAGGCAAGGTGATGACGTTGCTGCCTATCATGCCTTGGGAGATGCCTATCTGGGCTGTGTGGTCCTCATATAAATATGCATGAACGGCATCAGAGGTCCAGCCCCCGTATCTCTTCAACCTCTCAAGGTCCCCGGTAGATGCGAAGAAAGCCGTGGCCCCCCCCTTTGCGGAGTGAATGAGACCCTGCAAGTTCCCCTGGGTATCCCGCAGCCAGTGCTGCCACCTTAATTAGGTGGGCTATCCCCTCTCGGTCGAGACCGGATCGGTCCGCGTACCGAAACAGCGGCTTTTCAAGCTCCGCACCTCTCCAACGATGAGGTTGTAGTGCTTGCAGTGTAGCCAAGGCCTCGACCGGACACAGATCTCCACCGGATCGGTGGTGTGAACGAGCTTGCCCACGACCGAACTGGTCTGTCTTGGAGGACCTGACTTGGGTCACCACTTCATCTGCTACTGTCCCCAAACAGGCTTGACCCCCCCTTATAGAAGGCAACATCGGCTGGGCGGATCGCCCGATCTAGCGGGTCTGATCCATCGCCATGCGGCAAGAGTTCACTGGCTCTCAGCATGAAGAACCACCCAGTCAACAGGGCCCCTTTAACCATGGCTTGGTCCGGTACGGTTAGACCCATTCGTTGGATGTGCTGGTTCAGCCACCTGAGCATGGTTGGGGTGACTGGGAGCTTTCTGGCTGGGGCCCCTTCCCACCTCTGCAGTCCCGCTACGGCGGACCACAGCCGTGGTTTCCCTGAGAGTGGGTCAGGGTAGCCGGCAGTAATGTGGGCATAACGGATAGCGGACAGCCTTTGTCTGATGCCCCCTATGGAGCGTCCCATGATTTGGTGGAGGAAAACCACGAACCTGATTAGCCTCTGTTCATCTTCATACCGAGCGGAACGCTCCTCTCCCGTGAAGAACAACGGTGACTTAGCCCCACTATTAAAAGGACCCATTGCTTCCATCCAGAAGCATAGACTCTCCTAGTGGAGTCAGCTAGTTTAGCTAGCACTGCTTCCATGCCAATGTGGTCCAGGGCCTCGATGCCTTTAAGCCTTGGGGGCCCACAGTTCCCTTTGGTTTTTGGCTGGGGCAACCAGCTCGTGAGTGGGAGTCAGGTAGGGTTTTTTAGCTTTTCCCTTTTTGGGGGCACCGGCTTTCCAGGAGGAACCAGCATGAG